AAGGAAAAGGAACAGAAGAAAAAAAAAAACAAAGACAAAATGAGCGTCCATGAAGTGAAATGAAGAAAGAGCCACAATTCACTGTTCATCTTAAGAAGAAGATTTTTCTTCATTTTTAAAATAAACTTTTACTGGAGGGGTCCATAAAGCTTTCCCCAAGGGACAGAGCCAGGTGACATTTTCAGTTTGGGGACATTTGTGTTTCATCTAAAGCAGTGGCGGCCTCGGGATAATGTCGGTACCTCCCCTGACCCCCCGTCCGTTTATATCATCCAGGCCCTTTAAGTAAATGGCTTGTCAGGGAAATCGTTTACAGTAGACAGGGAATGACTACCCAGCATAAAGCACTGGAGACGGGCTTCGCCATTTTGAGGAGCATCCCATTCAAAAGTTGCCTTTGTCTAAACCCACAAGAGAGGACTATAAACTCTCATTACCAGATTTCTCTTCAGTTCACTGGAAAATAAAAACGGTCAAGGCTTCATAAGTAAGTGTGCTTTCTTTCATTTCAAAAGATGGCTGGCTGTCATCATGGAGACCAACCTCTGTGAAATGGATTTATGAAACTACGTACCACGGGAACCAGTGCACAGAACAGTTCAAGTTCACTAGCAAGTCAGTACCTTCAAGAGCTTTGGATACTTGAGATTTGGGAGCAAGGACGATGGAGTTCCATGTGTCATACAGCTTTCTGAGGAAGGGGGCAGAAAGGGGGGTGGGTGGGGGGGGGGACCGGGGAGAAGCAGACCACTGAAAGTCCAAGTTCTCTCCAGACTCCCAAAGCAAGAGAAACTACAACCCTCAGCCTCGTGCCCCACTACGTAAAGAGCAAGCAGACCCGCGGGTGTGGTGTCGTTCACACCTTCCCCCATTCTCAGCCTGTAGGATGGTGTGAAGCCCAAGATGAATGCCTGCTTCCCTGGCTAACGACGTCACCGCTGGTTCCCACTGGACAGAGACGTGTGGCCTTGGGACTGTGCTGTCCGAGAGAGTAGCCAATAAAAAAAAAAATTCAGTTCCTCAGTTGTACCAGCCGTATTTCACATGCTCAACAGCCACACGTGCTAGGGCCCACTGTACTGGACAGTAAATAGGGAACGTTCTATCCTCACAGAACCTGGCTTCGGAAGATACATGTCTGACTTGCCACCTCTTCTACTTTCTGAAAAGTGAGCTGGGTTCTTGGGAGTCTTACTTCAGATTTCAGGAATCCCGGTACTTTTGGAAGCCCTACAGGGTGCTAAGCACCATGCTTGGCACGGGGGATACACATACAAAAGAAGACGTCTTCTTTGCCTTCCAGGAGATCATTTGAAGCTGTAGGCAGTCAAGTAACATCGCTATCGTGTGACAAGGGCCAGGTTCTAGATGGCAGGAGAGCCAGAGGATGGTGGGCCAAGGGCAGGGGAGAGAGGCGGGCAGGAGGGAATAAATTCCTATTAGAGAGGAGTCAGGGAAGGCCTTCTGCAGAAAGACCTAGCGTGCAGGCTACGTACACGGCTGCCACAGGCACATCGGCTGATCCAGTGTTCATTACTTCCTGCGTACGCGTTTCAGAAAGCCCACATCCTTCCTCAACGCGAGTGAGGGTGCGCTGGGGTGGCGCGGTGCACCTGCCCTTCAACGACAGAACTCAGCCTTCCAAATCCACAGCTGCCACTTCCAAAGAGTCTTTCATCCAAAGGGTTAGAGCATTCTGCTCCTTTCAAAACAACGATCACAGCTGCTCCCTGGCTCGGAAAGACAAGTGGGGTTAGAAGAAGGGTGCCATCCAGTCCCTGATTTACCAGCAGAGGAAGGCTCAAGTTTCCCTCCGATTTCTCGCTCTCAAGGACTCCAGATACCCCATGCAGAGGTCGAGTTTTATGACAGCATGGAAAGCCAGGGACTGGAGAATTTGGGGGATCACATCAATGAATCACACTCTCAGCACACGCCAGCACTCCTATGTTTGCAACAAATGATTTTATTTGCAGCTGTAGGAACTGGTTCCCACACAAAACAGAGGTCACCACATTGGTCACTGTTGTTCCACACAGACAAAACTTAAAAAAAAAAAAAAAAGATATGACAGAGAAAGAGAGAGCGCGCACAAGCAGGGGGAGCGGCAGGCAGAGGGAGAAGCAGACTTCCCGCGGAGCAGGGAGCCCGACATGGAGCTCGATCCCAGGACCCTGGGATCATGACCTGAGCCGAAGGCAGACACTTAACCGATAGTACCACCCAGGC